TCTCTTAGCTTTTATTAATAACTGTATTTCTTTAATTAATTCTTCATATCACTTAATAAGAGCTAAGGTATGAATTTGCTATAATTTCAATAGCAATTCATTTCTATTACAAGTCCAATTCAACTTAAAATGTTATACATATAAGTTAATAATCAAAAATTTATAGATATTATCCAATTCATTAATAAAATTTAATTCTTTTTGGCTTAATTGATGTTTCTAATTCATAATTGTTCACTATATACAAATAATTATATGATGATCAGAAATTTACTTATGAAAATTTATAATCAACCATATTTGCTTTTTCAAAATACTTTTTATAGTCATTCAAGTAACAACAGCAAATTTTATTGCTTGCACTACTACTGAAACAAGCTATATCACTCTATATAGTAAATATTCATCAGTTTAATATTATTGTTTTTTAAATGTTAAAAAGGATATTCTAAACTATTTTTATTTTTTGATGATGATAAATTATATTTTTATTATTAGTATATGGACATCTGAAAATTAGTACCATTACGATAAAGTCATTTGAATACTTATATCACAATTAAATTTTGTGATAAAATTGCTTATGAAGTTAAATTGTTAATTTATAATGGAAATGTTTATTCAATTAATGGCTAATTGCTTTTTACATCATCAAATACAATTGATATATTAATTTCAATTAGAAATATCTCAATCTCAGCCCTAACTGTTACACATCATGTAAATAATGAACAGGTCCATGATCCAATAGATTTAGGTAGGATCTTTAAATTTTCTTTTCAAAAATATATATTGTAGATTCTAATTTTAAAAAAGAACATTCATTTATTCCAAATGAGATCTTGATTTAACCATTATTCAATTTTCAATTGTATTCTTGATGAATTTTTATTTAAGATATTTTTGGCTTTATTTGGATGAAAGCTGAAAACTAATGAAAATTTAAATTGATATCAATCTATATTATCAATTTATGGTATTTAAGCTATCCACCTATGGTTTATACCTTTTTGGCTATTTTGTGTTCCTCTTTCTTCAACTAAATCTTTTACTATTTGATAATACATAAAAATATTATAAAGGTGGAATGTCAATCTTTTCTCTTATCTCCACATTTTTATTGAAAGTAATACATAAAAGTAAAGTTACATTAAAAGATAGGAATTCTAAATAAGTTCATATTTAATTTATAAAAAGCAATTTTGGATAATATTAGTAATTTTAACATTAAAGTTTCTGTTAAATTTTAATAGAAATATATAAAATAAAATAAATTATCTTAATAATTTTGGAAATGAATAGTCAATAGATTGTTGCATAATTGGAAAATAAAGTTTAAGAATGTCTTTAAGGATTTTAATAATAGTTAGATGTAAGTTATTATAGATAATCATTAGTCCTCTTTCAACAGAATTAATGATTTTCTTGATTAACTTCTTCTTGCTCCTTATCCAGCTGTTCCTTAGAATAATGTTAACTTTTTACTACCTGAAGCTTAAATATCTTAACCATTAATTCCAACATTAGCTAATTTAGTGATTTAGGAAATCAAACCTCTAATCAATTTAATTATTAATAAATAAATTAAATAAACTCAACCTTAACAAATACAACAATAGAAAATAGAATAATCTATAATGATGAACAATCATCAATAATTCACTTTAAAGCCTTTTACTTATAATTTATTATAGAATAATTCAATTAAATAGAATGAATAATGTTATGCAATAGCTATTAATAAAGATAATTCAATTGTATTAGCTGGTTGTGAAAGTTAAATCAAAGTATTTGAATTCAAATAAGAATAATTGAAACAAACTCAATTATTAAGTGAACATTCGAGGAATATTACAACTTTAAATTTCATTAAGAAATAAAATCAATTTATATCTGGTGAATAGGGTGGATAGATTATACTATGGTCTATGAATGAAAATAGTTAATGGATATCCTAATAGAAATTAAAAGAACATTCTGATTGTATTAATTGTTTAATATTTAACAATAATGAAGATGTTATGATAACAGGAAGTGATGATTAAACAATTAAATTTTGGTAAAAGTAATAGCAATGGGTATGTTCATAAACTATTACTGATCATAAAGCTTATGTTGCAGGATTAAGTTTAAATGACTAATAGAATAGAGTGATATCTTGTGGATTAGATAAATTAATATTAATAATAGAATGGTCATCATAGGATTAAAAATGGAATATCATATAAAAGATATCAGTTGAATAGTACGGTTGTAAATTATGTTTTATTAATGACAATGTATTCACATTTTAACCTTTAGCGAAAGAGTAGATGCATGTTTATGAGATGAGTAGTACTAATAAATAATACTCAAAAATAAAAGAAATTGCTGTTAAAAGTGGTTATAGTGGTAGTACTTATTTCTTTCCTTAATAATATATAAAGTAGAAATGTTTGGTTGTGAATAAGAATGGATACAATGTTAATTTAATAAGGAACCAAAATGGTGATTTTATAACTCAATAATCTATTGATTTTGGACATAATTCTATATATGGATATATGAGTGAAGATGGAGAGTATTTGATGACTTGGGATTACAAATCAAAGGAAATTTAAATAAGAAAATATTATTAGATATGAAAAAGAATGAAATATTATTAAAAAATATTAATATTATTTATTCATTTATTTATGAAAACTAATTTTAAATTAATACATAAGAAATTAAAAATCATCAAACATAATTAAATTATATAATTCATAAGGATAATTACAATTGTAGGTGAAAAAAAGATGAACATTATTTTAAGTAATTTCTAAAAAATCATGAAAATTTGAACATTCTAATCAAAAAAATAAAAATATCATATATGTAAAAACCCTTGAATATGCATTAGATTTTTTCTATGAATAGAAATGGACTTTTGATTTCACTCTAATTTCTCTTTAGAAAGATTTTTACTTAATCCGCAGTAATATAAAGTAATTTTAATAATGAGTCTCCACCAATTTTTAAAGGATAATATTAGGGGCAAACTAAGAAATAAATTTACTGTTATTAAAAATTAAAAATTACATTAATAAATCATTTTTATATTCTAAGTTATGCCAGTTCTAATTCCTTAATCCTAAATCTTAAATCTTTTTTTTAATACCAAATTATTTTTGAGAATCTGATAAAATTCCAATAAACTTGATTAAATGGTACTAACAATAATAATTTAGTATAGAAGTGAATATTTAAACAAGTAAAAATAACTTTTGATTGTTCTTTAAAAATATTTTAACTAAAATAAGTCCTCTCTTAGAAGAAGAGGTTTTTGTAGTAATTCTAGCAATTGATATTTAAAAAATCAAAGTTAAACAGTTTATCAGAAAATAATTTACTTGATTTTTCTTCTTTAGTCGAATTGATTCAGGAGTATATACTTTTTTAGATAAATCTTTTCTAAAAGAAATTCAGACTTTTCATGTATATTATGAAGAATCTTGGTAAGTTGATATCACTAGGTTTAGAACATATGAAAAATGTTAACAGATTAATAATTATCTAGTCTATGAGCCAATAAAAAAATAAAGATAGCATAGGTGTAAGATAAATAAATGGTAAAACTTTAACTATATATCATGATATCAATTCAAAGAATATAAAACTTAGCAGATTAAGTTAGGCTTTTTGGTGTTTTTGGAAGCGATTTAAATAACAGTAAAAATATTATCATAATGATCTAAATCAGATTTAAATTATTTAATAACGATTAACTTGTTTTATTAATCCGTCATTATATAATATTAAACTAGATCAGAAATCATCTTATATTCCATGGTTGATTAAAATTATTAAAAAGATGTTGAAAAGGTAACACTTTATTAAATAATTTATTAGTGCATTAAATAAATCAGGATGGTTTTTATTCATAATCGAGGTGTTTTTGCAAGTCAGAAATCCTTTTGTACCGTAGAAACATTGTTATTATTGTCGATAAAATAAAATGATAGTATAATAATCTTATAGTTAATCACTAAGAGTATTATTCAGTTTTCTTTGAAACCCTTATAATACCGGATACTAGAATCTTGGTTTAAGTTAACTGAAATCTAAACTTATTAAATAATTTGGTATGAATTATGACAAATCATACATTAAAGAATTTGTTACTTCGGAAGATATTGTTATGGGTCGCCAGAATAAATAAACAACATGCCGTATTAAGAAAAAAGTTGAAGTTAATCTTTAAAATCTCATAGAGAAGGCAAATTTTTAATTTTGATATTAATGGAAAATCCCTTATGTCTTAACAGATTCTGCTATTATCCTTTGTAATTTTAGTAAATTTCTAATAGTATGGTTAATGAATTTGAACATAAGCTAACTAATCTTCTAAACTTTTTAAAACTATTCTATAAAATTGAAGAAAGAGATCTCAAAAAAAAGGAGATTACTCTAATTTAAGAAAGTATTTTAATAATAATTATGAATATACTTGCTTTGGTATTTTAATTTTCAAAGAGTTTATAATAGCATTTTTCCTTTAATTATTAATAGCTTGGCCAAAAAGATTTATATTTTTTTAATAATATTATTATAGGAGCTTAATGATCCTAATTAACTTAATGAGGCCTAACTACAAATTTAATTTCTGTCAATCCTAGTATCAATTACTATAATTTTAATCATTCCTGGGGCAACGATTGAATATCCGAAGGTGATGGAATTCCATAAAAATATAAGGATATGGTGTATGATTTACTAAAGTATGACGAGAGATTTTAAGTCATAACTCATTTGTAATAATGTAATAGAAGTGGCCAAGATTAATTTATTTGATTTTAATGTAAAATCCAATAAACTGCCGATTAACTATAGTGCTTTTTAATCTTTGCAATTAATTCTGACGACTCTATAATAATAATAAGAAGCGCAGTGGGTAGTTCGAATCCGAAGCTATTAGAAAAATGGATCTTATTTGAAGGGGGAACCTTGGAAATTGTCAAACTAGAAGAACCTCTTAAATAGTCACTCCAATGTGACAAGAATGATCTTAGAGAGTAATCGAAACTTATCTTTTGATTTGGAGAACTGATGAAACATGATGGTTTCTGTCTTTATTATCATTAATGGGGTGTGGAATGGACATGAGAGCTCCGAATTTATCTTGCAGTAAAAAATTCTTAAAATTCAGTCAAACTTTTAATTCTTGATATTTAATTTAATTATCACATCATAACCACAAATTTGGACTTTTAAGTTATATTTGTAATAAATATAAAATGTCAATACTAGTATTAGATTAAGATAAAGAACTAAATCTTTTTAGATCATTAGTAAAATTAATAAAAATATAACAATATATAAATTCAATTTAAGTTAATTATTAATTAATGATTATTTTTATTTATTGATTCACATTAGTAGTAAAGTATACTGATATCTTAATTATAACATTACAAATGACGTACATATATAAAATTAAATAAGAATGGGCTAAAACCTTAAGTACATATTAATTTACATTTAATTTGTGGAATTCAAAAAGTATTTTATTCAAAAATGATTGAGTTAATTAAAAATTAATTTAATTAATTTGAAATAAATGAGAATATGAAATAAAAAGGCGTTCATAAAAATGAAAAATAATAGTTCTATATTTATGGGAATTGATATCGCAATGGCAAAATATTAAATACTATAAGGATATAGTTGAACATAGATATGTAAGCTTAAGAATAAATATTAAATTACATTAATAATTAAAAGTCAATAACTCATATCGAATGTATATAAAAAAAAAAAACAATATTTCTTTGGTTTGATTGCTCTAAAAACATAATTAAGTTATTTTCCCATTTAACCAAAATGTACACAGTAAATGGTTAATTAAGTTAAGGATTTTTCACTAGGATTCACCAATAATTAATTATTTCTTTTAGAAGGAAATACAATTTATGTTACCCTAAGATTAATTAATAATGATAAATTTTATTCTATATATTCTTATGATCAATTTAATCGATTAATATTGATAACTAAATAAGATTAGCAGTAATATGCTTTTGAACTTACCAAAAATATTGAAATCCCTATCAGTTAAGGTGATTAAGTATTTGCAAATAGTTAATTCATTTAAATATAGAATAAATACGAATTAGCATTCTTAATAAATTACCTATTAATCCTTAAAATTTTAGGAAAATATTTATTGTCACTAAATCAATTCAAAGTTTTTTATTTGAAATAATATTAGATATATTAAAAATCATTTAATGGCAATTTTGTGATTAAAGCATCTTAAATAATGAATTCAATTTATTTTATCTTAATGCTCGATTTCAATAAAATTTCCTTAAACAAAATAAGATACAAAGAATGATAAAGTACATAATATTAAACAATCAACTTATTTCAGTAGTTTATAATAAAAATTTCATCATCAATATGTTTTAAAAACTCTTTTACTTCCAATAAATTAGCAAAGTAATGAATTTTGGATATTCTTATAACAATACTACTTAACAATAAATAAATTAAACCATAAATAAATTTATTGCATGACTAAAATTTTAATGTTTGATTAAATTTAAGGATTTAAATCCAGTTTATTATTTGTTTATATTAGCAATATAAATTAAATTATTGATTTTTATTAACAAAAGAAAAATTATAAACAAAGCAATTTAAATCAATTTAATTCATTTAACATGGTCAATTCACATTATGTATTTAAGTGTTGAATGTAAATAATTTTTATGATTAAAATTTCCTAAGAATTTAAGACTTATTTCAATTAAATAGTAATTTTCATTTTATTCAGATAAACTATTTTATGATTAAATAGTGAATATCATAATAATAGTTAAATTTTTTATAATTCTTAATAATTGAATAGATATTATTTATATATTAATCTTTAGTATTGATTATAATCAATCCTACTTATGATGATATAGAGATGACATTTAATCATAAGGATAGATTGTATAATTCCAAATTTAAGATTAAAGTAATAATACTTTAACTTATATTATTGATAATTGGTTATAAAAAGTATGCCTAGAAAATATCATTTCAGTATTTTTTTTCAACTTTTACTATTGAATAATAAAAATTTTTATGTTTATAACTCAAAATTATTGAATATTTTTGGCCAATAAAAATATTTATTGCTTTTGATACATAGTAAGATCTAATTTATATTTTCTTACAAATAGAAGACTTTATAAAGTAACAAGTCTTAAAATTATATATGAAACAAATTTAGAGTAGAACTTGATTATATAAATTCTAATTATACAAATATTAATTGGATGAAAACTTAAAATATGTAATTTTATATTTGGAATAGAAATAATTCTAAAATATATCATCTTAATCAAAATTATTATTAAAATGACACTCAACATTACGAATATACCTAACACAGTTTCTAATGAATAGCATTGTAAAATAATAAGATCAATAATTAATTGTCTTTTTCTATTTCAAAGTAATATTAATTGTCTTACAAATAGTGAAAATCATAAATAATTAATAAAAACTTTAGAGAAAAGAAAATCTAAATTAGATTTAATACCGTATTAAATGGTTGAATTGAAATAATACTTGCATTAGATCTTAAATTTAAGGTAATAGTACTAATGATATCTAATTAACTTTACAATTTTATACTTGAAGGTATAGATATCCTCTAAAGCAAAACTGTATTTTAAGATATTATCTAAACTTCCTCTTCTTACATAAGAAAATTGTTTTATTTAATTATGTAAACTTACTATTGTTTAGGTTTTAGCTTTTCTTATACACAAATAATTTTGATTCATAAAAGAAAGACTTTTGCTAACCTTGTATCTGGATTTCAAAATTTTAATAAATAAATTCCTCCTCTTAATTAAAGTTGGTAAAAATTTACTTAAAGTACGACTGATATCTATTTAACTTCCTTCAAAAATTGTAATAAGTGATGAAGAAAAATTTTAAACTACTATAAAATTATATGTAAATTTTTCTATCCTTACAAATTAATTTATATTCAGATTTAAAATAAAGTAATAAAACCTCACTTTGTAATTAAAGGCTCTTAATGATTATAAACCAATATAAACTATAATTTAATTTTTTTAAAGAAATAAATATTTCGAAAGAATCCTTTTTTGGTTTAGATTCAATAATACTGATTGTCATTCATACTTCAATCATTTATTATGATAAGACTAAAGAAATTAGAATGTATTTAGCACCAGTTAGGCTATAGGTACGCATGAATCTTATCCTCATTTTCCCTCATGATCTCTGCAAATCTTATTCTTATTTGAGAAGAATATAGAATTATATCTTATTGGTATTTGATTAAAATTTGTAAAATTAATATCTTTTTTTTTTTTTTTNNNTTTCAACTTTTACTATTGAATAATAAAAATTTTTATGTTTATAACTCAAAATTATTGAATATTTTTGGCCAATAAAAATATTTATTGCTTTTGATACATAGTAAGATCTAATTTATATTTTCTTACAAATAGAAGACTTTATAAAGTAACAAGTCTTAAAATTATATATGAAACAAATTTAGAGTAGAACTTGATTATATAAATTCTAATTATACAAATATTAATTGGATGAAAACTTAAAATATGTAATTTTATATTTGGAATAGAAATAATTCTAAAATATATCATCTTAATCAAAATTATTATTAAAATGACACTCAACATTACGAATATACCTAACACAGTTTCTAATGAATAGCATTGTAAAATAATAAGATCAATAATTAATTGTCTTTTTCTATTTCAAAGTAATATTAATTGTCTTACAAATAGTGAAAATCATAAATAATTAATAAAAACTTTAGAGAAAAGAAAATCTAAATTAGATTTAATACCGTATTAAATGGTTGAATTGAAATAATACTTGCATTAGATCTTAAATTTAAGGTAATAGTACTAATGATATCTAATTAACTTTACAATTTTATACTTGAAGGTATAGATATCCTCTAAAGCAAAACTGTATTTTAAGATATTATCTAAACTTCCTCTTCTTACATAAGAAAATTGTTTTATTTAATTATGTAAACTTACTATTGTTTAGGTTTTAGCTTTTCTTATACACAAATAATTTTGATTCATAAAAGA